CAACTGTTAGTTGTCATACGTTTCACAATATCAGCGTATGATAACCGACCACAAGTATGGGCATTGGTAGCCGATGCCAGCTATGAGTACGGTAATCCTAAACTACTGGCACCGGTAATAGCAGACGCATCAATGGTTTTGTTATTTTGCGGACTATTAGTCGATTATTACGATTGGAAACATCGGTTACATATAATAGACTTTCTTTACGACTTTAAACACAACCGACTAAAGCTAAACAAAAAACACAGAAAACGTTTGGCAATGTATTCAAAAATTTTGGTAAACTATTGTTTGAATCAGATCTATTGGGCACAGTTAGCTTTGATCAATTTCTATATGTCATATTCGCTTTGGATGGCCTACTTGGACAACAAATATGACTTTACAATCATAGGTATATTGTTTGGTGTACTAACCAATTACTATTGGATCCAACAAATGACTACAATTTCTACCGGTGCTGTTGTATTAGCTTTTCTAATATGTCTATCACTAAAATATTCATTTATCGAAATAAACAACAATATTATTGATGCTATTAAAACTGATAACTGGCCAAAATTGACACGTGCTATACGCAAACATAACAAATTATGTAAACTAATCAAACAGTATAATAATTACTATAGATATCTAATATTTATATTATATTATTTATCGGTTCCCGGTTTTGAATTTCTATTGTTTCTAATATTTGATGCAAACTCTAAACCAATTTCCCGGTTATTATTGGCTCTGATATTCATACTATTGTTTACATCATTATCTATATTCAATATGATGTGCACCTGGATATCCACATACGCTCACAAACCATACACTGTGGTGTATAGAGGGATGACTAATAATCAACCATTAATTAAAGTTAGATACAAATTATTGTTATTTATTGAACACTTAACCGAACCGGAGATTGGTTTCTATTGTTTAGATATATTTCCAATGAATAACATGGAGTTTACATTGTTTGTCATTAATTTTATTGCTAACCATTTATTACTATTAATTAATTTTTATAAATTTTAAAGCATTTTACTTTTGTTAATAAATATTTAATTTGTTTTACAGATTACTTTTAATCATTTTGAAATTAGTTATAGAATAATACTATTGAACTAATTTGTTTAATATTTAATTTTTCATAATATTTTAAGTTTTTAATAAAATAAAAACAAATCAATTAATAATTTAAAATCAATATAATATAATATTAATTTAAAGCACTATTTTATATTTTAATACATTTGCTTAAACAAATATCTCTATACATTATCGCTATTTATTAATAATTATACTGTAAATACTGTAATTAATAATACTGTATATATTTAACTTTTAATAATTAATTATTTATATTTTCTAATAATTAATAAATTATTTTTTTTAGTAAACTTATAAATAATATATTGTTTATTTTGTAATCTAATAACTCAATATAATCATTTATAATTTATAATTATATTTATATATTAATACTGTAAATATACTTATAAAATGTTAGCAAATAATTTTTAATACAAAATATAATTATTGAGATAATAAATCACAGATTAAAAAAATATATATATTTATATTACAATTATATTACAAATCTATTGTTTAGATAACATATCCAATGAATAACATGGAGTTTACATTGTTTGTTAACCATTTATTACTTATCAATTTAATCTAATAATCTAATAATCTATTAAAAATATTTAATTTATTAATAAATTTGATTATTATTTTGTTTACTAAAAATTTGTTTACTAATTATTGAAAATAAATAAAAAATTTAAAGTCACATTGAATTATTTATTGATTTTATTTTAAATAAAATATATAATTTAAAATTTTAATTCTTTTACAAATAATTTTATTAATATATTTACTTATAGATAGTCAACAAGGTAAAATAATTATGATATAATAATAAAATCATGTATAAAATTGGTATTTATTTACTTTATTTTCTAAAAAAGTTTTAAATTTAGTATTTTTAAAAATTTTCTATATATATTTTATTTAGAATTCATATTTTAATTAATAATTATTATTAGTCACGAAAAAATTGCTATAAAAAATACAAAATAAATCATCAAAATAAATTTACTATAAATATTGTGATTACCTATCATTAATCATAATAATAGATATCTAAATATAAATTATTTATTATATAAAAAATTATATAAAACATATTGTATTTGTATGACTGTATTAATTGTATTATCAAAAAAAAATAAACAATTTTGTCCATTTAAATTATAAAAACTACAAAAATATAAGATAAAAATATTTATAAAGTATTAATTTAAAAATAAATAATATATTTTTGAATTAAATAATATAATTATTTATATCTATTATATTAATGTTAAAAAACCACTTTCGTATGCTATGTTTTATTTTGTAAAATTATAGTCTAATTTAAAAAATATAATTCATATTTATATAATCCATAATATTTGAAGTTTGTTTTTAAAATATTTAAATATAAAACTAATTACTGAATATTAAAGAAGTTAAATCATTAATAATTATTTTCATATAATTACTATAAACATGTACTGTATATAAATGATTAACTAAAAGTAGTTTATTATGTAATAATTATATTTAAAAAAATAAAACTATAATTTTTATTATAAATAAGTTATTTTTTATTTTTATATAATTATGTGTAATAAATATATAAAAACAAAGATAAATTAATTCAACTAAAAAATTATAGTTTTATTTTTTTATATAATTATGTGTAATAAATTACCCAATAACTTATATTTTAATACATTATAAGTATATATACAGTAAATTTTAATGTTTGGATAATATGATATCAAATCATTAAAAAAAATTTCTTCATAATTATACTTTATAATAAAAAATTATATTTAAAAAATATTTATTATAAAAATCATATCTTAATATTTTAAACCTTCATTAATAAAAAACAAATAAACATTAGAATTATATAGTATTTATATTTTTTTAACAATTACTTAGAAACACATATATATATATAATGAAAACTGATTATTCAATTGCAAAAATAATGGACACATTTTGTGTTAACAAATATTTTTATCACCGAAATACCGACGACTATGTCAACAATCGTCGGCATATCCGACACGAGTTGTATATAATGTTTATCAAACTAATGCATCTGTTAGTTGTCATACGTTTTACGATCTCGGCGTACGCTAACCGACCCGCTGTATGGACTCTGGTAGCCGATGCCAGCTATCAGTACGGAAATCCTAGACTACTAGCGGCTGTAATAGCCGACGCTGCTGTGGTCAGACTATTATGTGGACTGATTGGCGATTATTACGATCGGACACATCGGCTATATATCCAAGTGTTTCTCGACAACTATAAACACAATCGATTGAAACTAAACAATCGGCACACAAAACGTTTGGCAATGTATTCAACATTTTTTGTCAAACACTATCTACCGCAGGCCTACTGGGGTGAGCTAGTATTGACTAACTTTTATATGTCGTACTCCCTAGCTATGGCCTACTTGGACAACAAATATGACTATACATTAGTTTTCATATTGTTTGGTGGGCTAACCAATTACTATTGGATCCAACAAATGGCCGCACTATCGGCCGGTGGTGTCGTACTATTGTTTATGATATGTTTGTCATTGAAATATTCATTCATCGAAGTAAACAATGCCATTGAAACTGGTATTAAACAAAATAATTGGTTATTATTTAACAAAGCAATTGTCAAACATAACGATTTATGCAAACAAGTCAAACAGTATAACGATTTCTATAAATATATATTACTTGTATTGTATTATATATCGATTCCTGGCTTTGAAATACTATTGTTTCTAATATTTGATACAAAATCCAAACCAATATCCCGGCTGATATTGGCCCTGATATTTGTACTACTATTTAGTTCATTATTTATGTTTACTATGCAATGCACGTGGATATCGACATACGCTCATCGATCGTATGGTAAGATTTATGGGTCAATCAATAGAAAGTCGAATTCATTTCAATTTAATTATAAATTATTGAATTTTATTGAACACATAACCGCACCGACAATCGGAATCTATTGCTTGGATATATTTCCAATGAATAACATGGAGTTTACATTGTTTGTCATTAATTTTATTATTAATCATTTGTTAGTTTTACAAATTTTAAAATAAGTTTATAGTTTAAGAAAATTTAAACATTTAGTTGAATACATTATGTGTTCATTAATCACATTAATAAATTTATAGCAATAATAAATGTGAATAAATTATATATTGATATTTAATTGACATTTATTTAATTTATATATATACTGTAAATATACAGTAGTGAATTAAATGTACTTTTATTAAATTGTATTTATGAAAGTGTTGTTTTGCCAATATTATCATAAATGCATAAATAAAACAAAATATTATAAATATTATACAGTATTATTTTATTAAAATTTATTTAAAATAAAATTATGAATATATAAGCACACAATTACACATAACTCTATATATTTTTATATATTAATACAAATAAATAATTATTAATATAATATAATAAAAAACAATATTAAACGTTATCTAATTATTAGTTATATTAATTGAATTGCTATAATATAAATACTATAACGTAATACTTAAATTGTGTAACATTTGATTAAAAATAATTGGCTAACTATAATAAAGATTATCAGTACTTACATTGTCTCTAATTACTGTAATTTCAATTTTGTGTTTTCTATAAAATTAAAAAAAATGTGAGTTTTATCTCAATAAATAATATTGAATATTACACTCTAGACTTAAAAATTATTTATTTATCGCTAATACTTTTGTAAATAATTTCTTATAACAAATTAACACATTTTTCTAATAATAAATTCAATTAAAAAATATTACATTTTATTATTTAGAAATTTCTAAAAGTAAAAAAATAAATTAGAATTTTTTTCAAGTTTTATTTATATATTAATAAAAAAAATCTAAATATTTATTAATTTTTTTCCACTAAATACTACATATCATTAATTATCATAAAATTTTTCTAAATGTTTAACCAATTTATCGGCTTTTTCTGTTTTGAAACCCAATTTTTCGGCCAATTCATGAACACTTGGCGATCCRTCGGGAATATCCCGATAGGGTTTAGCATTAGTACCCAATAGTATGTCCGGCAGTTGTTCGGGCGCTACGTACTGTTGAATAGTCTTTTTGCCGACAATATAGATATATTTGGTCTGTTCATCGCTAAGCCACGAACGGCACATCTTGTAGATGGCCTCCAAAACAATAGGCATCTTATAGACCATGGATGACGATACCAGTCCCGGATAGTAGTCGGTTAGTACTGAATGTATGAATTTCAATGTATCCATATCGGCATTTTTGATGCCACTATCTCTACAGTCTATTAACAGTGTTAGACCTGAAAAATAAAAATATTTTGTTAAAAAAAATATATTTAGTGAACCAAAAAAAATATGTATAACAAACCTTTTCCTTCAAAATTTTGATCGACATATTCAAACAAATAGACTAAGAATTGATGTGCCGTTTTGACCCATACCTTGATTTTTCGGGACACTTTACCTCTTAGTATAAGTATTGGCGAACCGTTACGATCGGTTCCGTAGACGAAAGCACCGGCACTCAGATAGCCTTCGCGTGTAAACTCGTTATCTTTCAATTCGTGGACACCGAAAGATTTTCGCCATTTCAATGCCTTATCCATCGATTCCAGGGCTTTGCTGACATCCGGTTTGGACTTATGTTCGTAAAGAAAACGTCTAACCGACCAGTCATTTGTCTTAAGTTTTTCAATATCTTTAGTATAGTATAGATCAGGATTTGCGGCAAATCTTTCGACAATCTTCTGTCTTAAGTCTTCAATAAGATCTTTGGGTACCACAAGACTGTTTGAATAGGTATCGAGAATTTCAAATGTTTTTGAACTCATTTTTTTAAATTTTTAAAAATCTAATTATTATTATTTTATTTAAAAAAATAAATTATTTAGTTTTTGAAAAAACAATTAATACAATATTAACAGTTTTTTTTTATTAAGTTAACACTTTATAAGTGATCAAATTATCTATGCAGCTATCAAAACTTAAAATGTTATCAATAATTAATTTAGTAATATTACTAAAAAAAATTTTGTTGTTGAAATATTACAAGTAAATTTCCAACAAAAATTATCTAATTAATTTATATTTTATTAATTTATTATTATGATTAGAAAAAATTATTTTATTTTAWAATGTAAAATATTTAATATATTTTGCATGAATTTATTTACTATTTTATATGAAATTAATTAATTTTTCTTAAATTATTGTAATTTAGGATATTTTTGCTGAAAATTTTCTGATTAACTTAACAAAAATCTCACCGTTACCATCACTTTAATATTAAGTATACTTAAAACTAGTAACTGATAATTAAGTGTTAGAAATTTTAACAAATCATTATTATTATAATTTATAATATTTTTTTATTATAAAAATTTATAAATTATTATTTTTAATAATATTAAATTGTAATTTATAAATTACCCAAATTTTTATTTATTAACTTAATTAATTAATTAATTGTTTAATTTTAATAGTTTGATTAATTAAGTTTAATTGGTGTTAATTTTGACATTACAATGACGTTATTGAGGTAATTATTTTTAAGTACAAGTATGCGATAACCTTATCTATAATTATCTTTTATTAGTCTGAATACTATAGACATAATACTCATTAATATCTATATTTTAAATGTCAAAGTTTTTTTTAATAAATTGTATATATATTTATTTATTATATAAATCTAGTGTACAACACAATACTTTATTTTATAGTTTTCAAGTATTTTATTTCTACACTTTAATTACATGATAGATAAAATACATAATTTTTTGATTAACATTATATAAATAACTAAAATATAAAGTTTTCATATAAATTTATATTAATATACAATATTTTGTTATATTTTACATTTGTGTTTTTAATAATAAATGTCTAAATTATTTTAAGTTTTAGCACCAGATTAGAAAATTTGCTAATTATAGATTAATACTAAGTTTAGTAATAAAATTAAAATATATTATCACAATTTATAAATTTAATTCAAATAAAAACAACAATAAAATAGTTTTAAAAAACATAAATATTTTCTTATTGTAATAAATAAATTTTTAATTATTTGTTTAAACCAATGTAATATTCAAAAATATATTATATTTATAATTTATATTCTCCATTAAATAATGATTAATTATTTTATAATAAATAAATATAATAAAATATTTATTTATAATCTAAGTGCATTATAAATATTGTGACATAGTATTATATATATGAATCAAATTATTAATAGTAATTTATCATTAATTATATCAATATATTAAATATATTTTTTATTCAAAAAAATATATATATTATATACTAATAAATATAAACTTTCGAAATCATGAAAAATGTATTTAAATAAATTAATATATATTAATATTTAGTTTGAAAATTTTTTATTTATAAAAAACAGACACACAAACAATGACTACTGAAACATTTATTGCTAATAAATTGGACAAATTTTTTGTAGATAAATATTTTTATCAATATGTTTGTCATTAAAATATTCATTCATCGAAATAAACACTTCAATTGACACAGGTATTAAAATGACTAACTGGGCAATATTGAACAATGCTATCCGCAAGCATAACAATCTATGCAAACTAGTGAAAAAATATAACGATTTCTATAGATATGTAATATTAGTATTGTATTATTTATCGATACCTGGTTTTGAAATATTATTATATCTAGTATTTGACCAGAAATCTAAACCAATATCCCGGTTCATATTAGCCCTGATTTTTATACTGCTATTTAGTTCATTATTTATGTTTACTATGCAATGCACGTGGATATCGACATATGGTTATCGATCGTATGGTAGGATTTATGCCTCATTGAATAAAAACTTACAGTCAATTAAACATAAATATAGATTATTGCAATTTATTGAACACTTAACCGAACCGGTAATTGGTTTCTATTGTTTAAACATATTTCCAATGACTAACATGGAGTTTATATTATTTATCATTAATTTTATTGCTAATCATTTGTTAGTTTTACAAATTTTTTCGCTTATTAATTTTTAATTTTTAAAAATCTAGGGTTTTTAAAAAAAATTTATTAAATAACTTTCAATATATATAACATATTTCTCTTAATAAATATCTATTTTATTGTATTTAAATAATAATTTATTTAAATTCATTTTTTTTGCTTTTAAAAAATATATTTTTATAAATATAAATGTAATTATTATATATTTTTTGCAAATAAAATTAAAACGATTATTTATTTAAATAATTCTATAAAATTCAAGTACAATATTTTACTAAAATTTTATTTTGCAATTTTATTTAAGTTTATATTATATTAATAGTATATTTATTATATAATATTATAATATATTTAAAAAATAGAAAATATGATTTTAATTGCAGTTTATATTAATATTTTAGATAAATTATATATAGTTCACATTAATTTCTTTATATATATTTAATATGTTATTATAATATAATTATAACAATTAAGTATTATTTATAGTTTAGTTTAATTATCTTTTCAGATAATTTATTGCTAGCTATTTCATAACAACTTAATATAATATAATGTTTATTTTGTAATCTAATCACGCAATATATATAATAGTTTTATTTATTAAAAAAAATATTTAAAAAAGAATAATATAAATTTTAAAAAAATATTATTATTGCAAAATTAAATAATAAATTACAAAATTAGAAAAATTTGTATTTAAGATATAATGAAATATATAATAATATATATTTCCTATTATAAGTACAGTAATTTAGTTTACTTAATAAATTAGATTATTTTTGAAAGTCATTTTTTTTGAACAAACTAATAAAAAAACACACACACAATGACTATTGAATCATTTATTGCCAATAAATTGGACACATTTTGTGTCAAAAAATATTTTTATCACCGAAATACCGACGACTATGTCAATGATTGCCGACATATCGGACACGAGCTATACATAGTGTTTGTCAAACTAATGCATCTATTAGTTGTCATACGTTTCTCTATATCTGCTTACGCTAACCGACCCGAGGTATGGACACTGGTTGCCGATGCCAGCTATCAGTACGGCAATCCTAAACTATTGTCGGCTGTAATAGCCGAGTCAGCATTGGTTGTGGTGTTTTTAGGACTGGTACCCGATTATTACGATTGGACACATCGACTATATAATCAATATTTTCTCTACGTTTATAAACATAACCGATTGAAACTAAATAATAAACATAGTAAACGTTTGGCTATGTATTCAAAATTATTGGTTAATCATTATCTGTATCAGACCTATTGGGGACAGTTAGCTTTGAGCAACTTTTATATGATTTATGCACTTTTAATGGCCTATTTGGACAGCAAATATGATTACACATTAATTGGTATATTGTTTGCAGTGCTAACCAACTACTATTATATCCAACAAATGGCTTCAATGTCAACTGGCGGTGTCGTCCTATTATTTATGGTATGTCAGTCACTAAAATACTCGTTCATTGAAGTAAACGATACGATTGTAGAGTCTATTAAAACGGATAACTGGGCAAAATTGATGAGTGCTCTAAGTAGACATAACAGTCTATGCAAACTAGTCAAACAATATAACGATTTCTATAAATATATAATATTTATATTGTATTATATGTCGGTTCCTGGTTTTGAATTGTTATTATTTCTAATATTTGCTGATAAATCCAAACTAATATCCCGGTTAATATTGGCCATTATTTTTCTAATACTATTTAGTTCACTATTTATATTCAATATGATGTGCACCTGGATATCCAAACAAGCTCACCGTCCATACAATGTAATGTTTAGTGTGATAGATAAAAATCTGCCATCAATTAGAGTCAAATACAAGTTATTAAAATTTATTGAACACTTAACTGAACCGGAAATTGGTTTCTATTGTTTAGATTTATTTCCAATGAATAACATGGAGTTTACATTGTTTGTCATTAATTTTATTGCTAACCATTTATTACTATTAATTAATTTATAATTTAAATAGTTGTTCAAAATAATTGTTAAATAAATAATGTATTATAAATTTTTAATATATATATATATATATTTTATAAATGTTAATAATAATAATTAATATTATCATTAGAAAATATATTAAATTATGAGTAGGTTTATGTTAAACATATTAGTTAATAATATTTTACAATTAATTTCAATGTTTTTCAATAATTCGTATAAATATTTATTTTAGTAAAATTTTATATTTAATTAATATTATAAAATACTATTTATTATCAATTAATATTATTAATATTATTAATATATCAATAATATAAAATTTTATACATAATGTAAAAATGTTAAAAAATATTATAAAATTTATAAGCAAATAGTTTTAATTTAAAAATTTTTATTTATGCTTTTACTTTGTATTAACAGTTCATAAAATATAAATAAAAATTATTAATTAAATTATTTTTTGATTAAATAAAATAATTTCAAAATAGTTAATATTACATAATAAATATTATATAATAATAATATAATTTTAAATTGATTCAAATAACTTAATTGTGTTTTAAAAAATACATAATAAATTATATATTTTTTTTAATAATTTAGAAATAAAAATTCACATACATTTTTAATCAATTTTATGATCATAACAATATTATTATTAAATAATATAAAATCATATTTTTTTTAACCAAATGCAGGTATRCCACCGGCTCCACCTACTCCACCGGGAAAGCCACCACCGAAACCTCCGGGGAAACCACCATTGAATCCGCCACCAAATCCGCCCGGAAAACCACCTCTGAATCCGCCACCGAAACCACCGCCACATCGCTCATCAGGTTTTTCATTGATGTGTTCATCGCTTTCCAAATGATTGTCTGGCAGTACATGGGTTGACACCAAACCAACAATTATTAGAATCAGAGCAAACAGTTTCAACATTATTGTTGTAATCAAATTGTATGTTCAGTTACTTTAATAAAAAAATTACAACTTTTACTATTAAACTAATAATTGTCTCACTATTTATATCATTTAAAATTAAACAATTGATTTATGTATTATTTTATTTTGTAAATGGAAGTTAACTAGCTAAAATAAGTGTGTTTAATGACATTTAATTATTTTATAATTAATTGACTAATCATATATGTCCTGTTTTAATATTGTTATAATATACTTTAATTAATTAATTTTTAAAAATTATAATGTTATTATAAGTTATAATGTACTGTACTTGTACTTGTGTATCATAGTAATGCTATTTTCATTAACTTTTTTGATTAATTAAATTGCTACCAGGATGGTTATCTACAATTTTCAATACATTGACGTAAAACATAAATCACTAACATATTTTAAGTTTAATTAACTAATTTAAAAAATTTAGATTAAAATTATACATTTTATAGATAGCAATAAAATATTAATATTGATAATAATATTGTATTTTTGTAAATAAAAATAGAAAATATTATTTTAGTTAAGATTATATTAATATTCGAAGATTAAATATATTTGTTTTTTCTGCTGATCTGACTAACAATTAGTGTTGGCAAAAAAGAGAAATTTATAAAATAATAGGTAAATTTCTAGAAATTTTCTAAAAGAAATTTCTATCTATGGATCTCCATGGTTAATTATGTTTTTTTTAAATATTTGTAACTTGCTTATACATTGTTTTTACAAGTAAYATGTAAATATATTAGTATTTGTATATTAATTATTAATTAAAATAAAAATATTATTTATTCAATTATATAAAACCATGATAATATATATTAGAATGATGAATAAAATTTTACAAAACAGATTATTATTAAATTATTATAATTATTTTATATATAGGTATCCTATTTTGTATAATATATGTATAGTATTACAATATCTATAAATATGCGGATCCCATAGTATAATAAAACAGTTAAATTTCTATAGAAATTTATTCATGATAAATTTTCTAGAAACTTTTTCAAAGAAACTTATTAGGAATTATTTGCTCATCTCTACTAACAATACTATTATGAATTACAATGCGATATATAATAGTATTATATAATAATAAAGTAAATTTTCTAAAAAACATCTAAAAATCAAAAAGTAATTTATTAAAAATTTCTATTTTCTATGTATTATAACAACAGTTATTAAAAAATATAAACAGATATTCATAAGTAAAAATATTTTTTGATTAAACAAAATAATCTGCTAATAGTTAATAGTACAGTAATTACTAAATTAATTTAATATATAAATTACATTTAAAATAGTTGAATAATTTTATTAAAATTAAAAAATAATAATATTATTTTAAATTGACTCAAATTATTTTATTGTGTTTTAAAAAATACATAATACAGTAAATTATATATTAAAAAAATTGAAATAAATATTCACACACATTTAATTATTATTATTTTTTAGTTTAAAACAATAATATTATTATTAAATAATATAAAATCATATTTTTTTAACCAAATGCAGGTATACCACCGGCTCCTATTCCACCGGGAAAGCCACCACCGAAACCTCCGGGGAAACTTCCATTGAATCCGCCACCAAAACCATTACCAAAACCTCCCGGAAAACCACCTCTGAATCCGCCACCGAAACCACCGCCACATCGCTCATCAGGTTTTTCATTGATGTGTTCATCGCTTTCCAAATGATTGTCTGGCAGGACATGGGTTGACACCAAACCAACAATTATTAGGATCAGAGCAAACAGTTTCAACATTTTTGTAAACAAATTGTATGTTTAGTTACTTTACTATTAAAAATTAGTAATAATTATAACTTATAATATCAGCTTGATAATTGTCTCACTATTTATATCATCAAAAAATTAAGCAATTTATTTTTTTGTATTATATTATTTGTAAATAAAAAATTAACTAGTTAAAAAATTAAGTGTGTTTAATGACAGTTAAATATTTTTTTTATGATTGATTAACTTATCATATATGTCCTGTTTTAATATAGAAGAAAATAGATGTATATTAATTTTTAAAATTATTTTATTGTTATATTTCACATTACTGTTAAAATATTTTTTAACAAAAAAAATTTGTGACAAATATATTTGCAATTTTCATTTACTGTTTGATTAATTAAATTAATTTATTTTCAAGGATATATATCGATATATAGAAGTTACTATGTATTGACGTAAAACATAAAGCATAAATATGCTATAAATTTAATTAATCATATGATTAAAATTTATATGTTTTAAATTTTTAAACAAATATTAATATTTATAATTGAATATTGTATTTTTGTAAATAAAATAGTAAATATTATTTTAGATATATATATTTTTGATATATTTTAAATTAATTATATAAAGTCATCGATGATAATTTATTTATTAAAAAAATGTTTATAAAGTAATAGTATGTAATATTTTATTAGGAAAAAATGTTATTATTGCAAAATAAAATCATAAATTACATAATTAGAGATTTATTTGTTAATCAAATTGAAATCATATATATATATATATTGTTTATATATATATAGTTAGTTGCTTTCAAATATATTGATAATTTAATAAAATCAATATTAAACATAATTAATAAATTATATATATAAACTAATGCATTTATTAGTTGTCATTAACGATTCACAATATTCGCATACACTAACCGACCTCCAGGTATGGGGCACTGGTAGCCGACACCAGCTATGAATACCGGTAATCCTAGACTACTGTCACCGGTTATATAATAGTTGATTCTGTAGTTGTTTTTCTGTATAAACAGTACTAACAAAACTATTATAACAATTGTATAAAATAGTATAATAATAAAGAAAAATTTATAAACATTTTTTAAAAAAAGTAATCTAAAATATTAGAAATATATTACTATATATATATATATAATATTTTTTGATTATAGTATATAAAATAATCGGTTAATAGTTATTATAGAAATAAATAAATTCTATTATAATMAAATAATTTTATTGAAATTAAAAAAATAATATAATTTTTACTTGATTTAAATAATTTAATTGTGTTTTTTACAAAATACATAATAAATTATATATTTTAAAATAAAATTTAAATAAATATTCACGCACATTTTATTATTATTTTTCAACAATAATATTACTATTAAATAATCATATTTTTAACCAAATGCAGGTAAACCACCGGCTCCACCTACTCCACCGGGAAAGCCACCACCGAAACCTCCGGGGAAACCTCCATTGAATCCGCCACCAAAACCTCCCGGAAAACCACCATTGAATCCGCCACCGAAACCACCGCCACATCGCTCATCAGGTTTTTCATTGATGTGTTCATCGCTTTCCAAATGATTGTCTGGCAGTACATGGGTTGACACCAAACCAACAATTATTAGGATCAGAGCAAACAGTTTCAACATTTTTTCTGTTGTAATCAAATTGTATGTTCAGTTACTTTACTAYAAAAATTAGTAATGATTAWAACTTATAATATCAACWTGATAATTGTCTCACTATTTATATCATCATAAAAAAATTAACAATTTATTTGTGTAATATATTATTTGTAAATTAWAATTAACTATCTAAAACAAGTGTGTTTAATGAAATTTAATTATTTTATGATTGATTGACTGATATCTTGTGCTTATAAATCTATTTTTAAAATTATCTTATTGTTATAATGCCTATTACTTTACATTTGTTTCATATATTATTATTAAAATAAAGCATATTTTTTTTGTAAAAYTATTTGATTAATTAAATTGCTACCAGGATATTTATCTACAATTTTCAATATTGTTGACGTAAAACATAAAATTAAAAGGATTTATTTGTTAATCAAATTAAAATCATATATACAGTATATATATATATATTATAAATTATAGTAATGTTATTTACCTTAAAATAAACTTCAGTTTTTTTGTAAGTTATTTTTTATCGACTATTATAACATACAGTACAATGACTATTGAATCATTTATTGCTAATAAATTGAACAYATTTTGWGTAAATAAATATTTTTATCACCGAAATACCKGAGACTATRTCAATGATTGCYAACATTTCAGWCACGAGTTTAATTAGATTTAATTTAAATTATTKTTAAATATRTATAAATATAATTTTTATATACATAAAAAWTTTTACTATAAATTAAAGTTATTGAKACAGAAAAATTACTTTCATATAAAWTGCATTTATTTGCTTTGAGAAAACTAATTGAGAAAATTTAGTATATTTAATAAAAAAAATATAAATATTGAATATTTTATTGTCAATAAATTTGGACACACTTTGTGTTTGAAAAATATTTTTATTAACCTAAAACTTTTGGCTCAACAATTGGCAACATGAGTAATATATTAATTATATATACAGATTAAATGTCAATTAAAATTTTAAATTTGACTAATTTATCGTGTACAGTTAACTTTACGCTAAGCAAGGTTACTTTAAGTAACTTACTTAGTAAACCTTATATTAGTTAACTTATATACAGTACCTTGCTAATGCATTATATAATATTAATCAAATTTAAACTGTATATATAAGCTAATGCATCTATTAGTTGTCATAAACGATTCACAATATACGCATTGACTAACCGACCTCCAGTTATGTGGCACTGGTAGCCGACACCAGCTATGATTACCGGCAATCATAGACTACTGTCACCGGTTATATCAATAGTTGATTTTGWAGTTGTTTTTCTGTCTAAACAGGACTAACAGGACTAACATAACTATTATAGCAATCATTGTATCCAATAGTATAATAATAAAGAAAAATTTATAAACAATTTTATAACAAACAGAAATTATTTTAATATTTGTCTTTACTRTTAACAGTTGTTGAAACATAAATAAAAATTATTCTTTAAAATAATTTTTGAGTAGAGTATATAAAATAATCTGTAAAATAGTTATTATTATAAGAATAAATACATAAATAAATTCTATTATAATTGAATAATTTTATTGAAATTAAAAAATAAAATAATTTATATTTAAATAGATAATACTTTTGAATTAAAAATTTATATACATTTTTAATATTTTTTTAGTTAYAACAATAGTATTATCAATATTATTAAATAATAATAAAATCATATTTTTAACCAAATGCAGGTATACCACCGGCTCCTACTCCTCCGGGAAAGCCACCGAAACCTCCGGGGAATCCACCGAAACCACCATTAAAACCGCCGGGAAAACCACCTCTGAATCCGCCACCGAAACCACCGCCACATCGCTCATCAGGTTTTTCATTGATGTGTTCATCGCTTTCCAAATGATTGTCTGGCAGTACATGGGTTGACACCAAACCAACAATTATTAGGATCAGAGCAAACAGTTTCAACATTTTTGTTGTTGTAATCAAATTGTATGTTCAGTTACTTTACTTTAAAAATTAGTAATAATTTTAACTTATAATTTCAGCTTGATAATTGTCTCTCTATTTATATCATTTAAAATTAACCAATTGATTTATTGTATTATTTTTATCTTGTAAATGGAAATTAACTAGCTAAAACAAGTGTGTTTAATAAAATTTAATTATTTTATGATCTATTGAYTAATCAATCATATATATCCTGTTTTAATATTGTATGCTTAATATGCTTATATATTTATTTTYAAAATTATTTAAGTGTTATAATGCCTATTACTTTACTTTTRTATCATATATTATTTTTTWWAAATGTAACATATTTTTTATAAACATAWAAAATTTATTTGAAATTTTCATTAACATTTTAATTAATTAAATTGCTACCAGGATATTTATCTACACATTTCAATATATTGACGTAAAACATAAATCACAAATAAATCAGTTAATAATATTCACTAATTAAAAACAATGTTTTTTAATAATTTATTTTCTATTTATTTTATATATTCAATGTTTATTATATAAATATTATAATTAATTTTATCAAAATATTATACTTAAGTAACAATCATACATATTATATCAATAGTATATATAAAATTAAAATAAATTACCATAATCAAATATTGCATAGGTAAAATTATTTTTATATTTATTAATAATTGTTAAAATATTTTTAAGTTATAAGTCGAATAAACTATTAATATATAAATTTTAAGACAATTTGTGTATGTATTTTATTATTATTTCATAAACCTTATATAAAATAAATATTAAGTAAAACTAGAATTTAAATGTATAAAATTTAATTTAAAAATAAATAATCATTAGATTCAGTATATAGTTTGATAACATGATAATAGAATATATGATATGAAWATRTTATTATAYKGTATAATATAATATATCAATATTATTAATTAATAATTTTTTTTTTAAATTAAAAATGGATAAAAGTTTTATTATATATTTAGTATGAAATTACAATTAATTTACAAATACAGTTTTTTAAAATAAATTAAAATTATTTTTTTTATTAAATAAAATAACCTATTAATAGTTAATAATACAAGAATAAATAAATTATATTTAAAATAATTAAATAATAAAAAATAMTAATATAATTTTAAATTGCTTCAAATAATTTTTATTGTGTTTTYAAAAAAATACATATTAAATTATATGTTTTAAAAAATAATTTTGAAATAAAAATTCATACACATTTTTAATAGTTTTTCCGTTACAACAATAATATTATTATTAAATAATAATAAAATCATATTTTTARCCAAAWGCAGGTATRCCACCGGCTCCTACTCCACCGGGAAAGCCACCACCGAAACCTCCGGGGAATCCACCATTGAATCCGCCACCAAAACCGCCAGGAAAACCACCATTGAATCCGCCGGGAAAACCACCTCTGAATCCGCCACCGAAACCACCGCCACATCGCTCATCAGGTTTTTCATTGATGTGTTCATCGCTTTCCAAATGATTGTCTGGCAGTACATGGGTTGACACCAAACCAACAATTATTAGGATCAGAGCAAACAGTTTCAACATTTTTTTAGTAATCAAATTGTATGTTAAGTTACTTTAYTATAAAAATTAGTAATGATTTTTAACTTATAATTTTAGCTTGATAATTGTCTCACTATTTATATCAAAACATTATAAAATTATTTTATTGTTATAATGCATATTACTGTAATGTTGTATCATATATATTAAAAATAATTGTAACATATTTTTTGTTGCAAAACATTTTTTTCATTAACATTTTTTTTGATTAATTAAATTGTTTACCAGGATATATCTAGGATTTAAAAAAAAAATATATTGACGTAAAACATAAATCACAATTATATWAATATTTATATATTAATATATGTTATGCACCTGGATATCCAATTATATGCTTACTGGCCATACAATTTGTTGTATAGAAAGGGATAACTAAAAAAATATAYTATCAATTAGTTACGGGAATCCCGATTCAGGATACAAGTTATTACAATTTATTTAACACGGAAATTGGTTTCTATTGTTTTCTATATATTTAATATTTCCAATAAATAACAATTGAATTTACATTATTTGTATCATTAATATTATTGYTAACCAWATAAATAAATGTTATCATTTATAACTTATCTTATAATAACTAATTATGTAAAAAAACCTAATAACCAATTATATTGTTTAATTTTATAATAATTAATWTAATAAAAAATATTAATTTTAGTTTATTAATTAAATAWAACTRTTATACTACTATTACTACTAYTATTATTACTACTAGTGTTAAGAAAATAATTAAATCAAAAATTATATTTATCACACTGAAAAATAATAATAACCAAATTGATAATGTTAGATAGCATTTCTAGRGAGTAATTTATAGCATTAAAATTTTATTCTGGCAATGCTATCTATCATTATCAATTGGTTTTTAWTTTTGATAAAACATTAAAAACCAGTTAACAATAAAAATTTTATWATTTTATACGTTATTTAAATACTTGATTTATATTACAATAGTATTAATCTTATTAAAGTTWTCTTTGAAAATATYATATTGTGATTAAACATTTCGTGATCATTAGTCCTMCTGTCCTGTAATSTCTGGTAAATATTAATRTTTTAAATTTACTACAATTTATATATTACTTTATTATAAATTTTATACTAAACTTATTTAATATTTGTCATTCAAAACATTAGTAAWCATAGTGTTTTTACTGATTATATTTWWAAAAAAAATAAATTTCAAAAAGTATTTTATTATATAACTTTTTCAATAATTATTTACTAAAACAAACTACARAATTAAATATTAAGCAATATTTTGTAAACACAAAAAWTAACACAATGACTAATCCAATTGGTGTTTATATTATTTTTAAAAAAATAATAATTAATTGAAATATTAKTAGAGTTGGTAATCWTTTATCTTTTTYTATATTTGTTATAATAAAAACAATACATTGCAGTCATAAATAATATTWCTATTTTAAAGATAATTATTAGTATATTATTTWGTATTCAAAAAAATAAATATATTTTTAATGTAAATAATTAATGAATATTTCTGTTAGTACTTAACTGTATTAGATTTTTTTCTATTTTATTAGATATATTTTTAATAGTTAACATTAAGTTTACATTATTTTTCATTAATTGAAAAATACAATATAAAAACAACTAATTATATTATTTAATTTATAATAATTAATTTTCATTTTTAAATATAATTATTGTTACTTAAAGTAATAATATTACTAATGTTATGAAAATTCTCAATTGGTTTTTATTTTAGTTAACAAACCTCTTATTTACTTATTATAGGTTTATAAATGTTTTATAAAATTTCAAATATAAATTTATTCGACATTTAATTAATTGATTAATGTTAGATATTAAACTTATTAAAATTATTTTTAAAAATATAATAATTATGTAAACTTATACAAAATAAACTGTTTTTTAACTTACAATATCATATTTATTTAATAGTTATATTTTAGGYATTAAATTCAAAATTAATTATATAAATTACTTAAATATATTTATGTACAAAAATTATTATAAACTTTACATTTATATTTAATAAAAATATTAGTTTTAACAAATCAAAAAATTTTCAAMTAATATTATAAATGATGTATGAATTTGAGATGAAAACAATTTATTTAATATTTGTAGCAATTGTGTTAACCGATTCTCAGCACTCAAGTATYAAACACTACCCGTCAGTAACAGAGGACAAGTGTGGTATCAATAGTCAGTGACTGTTGATGAGCGGACACTGTCTTAAGTGGTCATCAAATGTTGGGACAAATGTTCAAAACGTACGGTTAGCTCAACCGTTTGAGTGGCCGTGGATTGCAGTCATTGATATATAYAAAACATTTTGGGGTTTCAAATATAACAGGTATTTGCAATTTATAATAATAGTGTATATCATTTGTAAATTATAAWTATATATATATATATATATATAWATATATACTAAGCATAAAATTAAATTTATAAATTATAATTAATATAATAAAATTRGTTACTTATTATAAAACATTTACTTTATATTTTAATTAAGTAAATGGTGTACTGGAGTTATATTGAATAGGAATTGGATAATAACAGCAGCACATTGTGTATTGTAATTAGATTTTTATTTTATTTATATATTATAAACTTAATTTTGTAGTTAAAAATTATTAATTTAATAAATAAAATATTTATAAGATCTGATCACACAATAAGTATACGACTAGTTCAAGACTATAGTCATGCATACGGTGTGGATATGTATGTCATTCAACCAAATTATACGGCATTCAAACATATGCCGATATTCTCGTATGGATATGACATYGCATTATTGAAATTGGATTCACAGATATTGATGACACAGTCGACGGGTGGGTATCCGACAGTTAATGCCATTTGTTTGCCCGACAGAGACATTGTTAACACCGATAAAGAGTTGGCAGTATTTGCCGGTTTCGGTAATACAGACGATAATGTGATTAATTCGGGTCCACTTAGAATGGGTTGGTTTCGTATGACTGAATCGTTTGATAACATAACCGATCGCTGGAATTATTTGATTATTTCAGAATGATATCCACTAAATGATGGCACATCTGCCTGTATTGTAAGTATATTTTGGGTAACTTTCCCAACTCGGGAGAAAAGTTCCCTAATAAAATCCCTTCAATTTTTCCCGGAAAGATATGGAAAATATTATATTCTTCCTCCTGTTTGTCCTTTAGAAATGAAAGTATATTTCATATTTCTTAAATAAATACATTTTTTCATAAAATTTAATTGAAATATTTTTAAAAATAAATTTGAATTCAATGAATTTAGCGATACTATTACAACAATAATACAGTTTTAATTTAAACATTTGTTAATTAKAGATCTTATAATAAAATTTGTTATTTAAAAATTCAATAAGTGTTAGTATAAGGATATATAGATTCCCTGGGAATTYYCMAKTGAGCAAACAATACAGARAACTTTTAGAGATATTAATAGTCCGAACCCTAATTGTAATTAAATAAAACATTAAAATTATTACTATATTAAATATTAATGAATTATTTTCATTCAATTATTGACTTTAAAATAAAGTAAATTAATTAAAAAATGTATATTTATAGCGATTATTAAAAATAAAAAAGTATTTAATATTAATATGTTATAATAAAGTTAACAATTTTGTTTAGTAATTATTTTATTAAAAAAATTAATTAATTGAAATKTTATTTGAAATGGCAAWAAATAATWGAAAAAAAWTTCTATAAATTTTCTATAAGAAATTTCAAWCTATRGTATCCCCATATTTKTTATAATTAAAAAATACATTATAGTCATAAATAATAACTAGAGATAATTATTAATATTTTATTTAGTATTTAAAATTAATTAATTAATTCACTTAATAATATTTAACTAAAAATATAATCCAATTATTAATTTTTAAAATAATTTATGGATCCCATAAGTTTTGTAGTGTATAGTAGAGCTTTAATGATTTTATTAAATATATATATATATATATATTATGTATCATTAATACTTTATTRCAATAGTTATAGATATAATAATACAGTAATTATTTATTTTATGAAAATTTATTAGAAAATATTACATACAAAAAACAAAACAAAAACATTTCATTGACTTTATTTRATTTAACATTAATTTAAAATARTAATGATWTCAATAGTTAATGTCTATATTAAATAATTATGAYCAAAATAGAAAMAWTTTTATAAAKTCATTATTTAAATATGTTTATAATACAGTGGTAAAAATGATTTATTATTATTATTTTATTTATAATGTAAATAATTTTATAAAATAYAATTTAATATAAATAAATGTYTTATAAACACGCTATATAAAATATTTAAATATAWATTATTATTAAAAATAATCAAGGWAATTGACTTTTGAGGTGGGGTAAAATGCAAAATTTGTTTATATTATATAGATATATAAATAATTAATAAAATTAGGAAAAAATACTTTTTAATATTTATTAAAATATTTCATTTTTCTATATTTTTAAAATCTCCTTTTATTGTAATGTTTAGATAAATACAATACAATTCAATGTTTATTAAGAATATACTAATATATATAATAAAATATATAATTATTACATTATATTAATTATTATTATTGATAAGTTAGATTACCAATAAATTATTAATAATCACGACATTAATATAATTAATTATTAATTTAATAGTCTTATTTTTATATCTTTATATAGAATATTTAAATTAATGTTTATTTTCAAATATAAATATAATAATAGTTWTTATTTTATTTAATATTAACAATGTTATTTATAGTATATAAAATTATATTCATAAAATAAATAAACAATTATTTTTCAAAAATATTATGAATAAAAAAATCTTAATGCAATGAATACTAAATATATTATTGGCAACAAATTGGATACATTTTGTGTCAAAAATTATTATTATCACCGAAATACCGACGACTATGTCAACAATCGTCGACATATCCGACATGAG